TAGTTGCTCCCTAGTAAGTGGAACAGGGACTGTCTCTGACATGAACTCAGTGGCTGGCTCTTTGACCTCCCCATCCTCCTTGGAAGGAGCAACCTACCTAGGATACAGAGGACATTGCACCTAGTCCTGATGAGACCTGATAAGCTAGTGCCAGATGGAAGGGGAGAAGGTCCTCCCCTATCAGTGGACTTAGAGAGGGGCAGGGAGGAGATGAGGGAAGGAGGGTAGGATTGGGAGGGAATGAGAGGGGCTACAGCTGGGATATAAATTAAATAATCTGTAACTAATATAAAAAATAAAAATTTAAAAAAGAAACTCTTCATAAATCCATGTATAAACCCCCAGGAAATGATTTGCAGCCAGCATCCCAGTACACTACATCCAAAACAGGATAAAAACTACCATGATATATTATACTACAAGTGACTAGGTTCTTGATTATTGAGAAATTACTTCCATTAAATAGAACTATTAACAGCATGGAAGACCAGAAGAACCACACCAGAGAAAAGAATAAAGTTTCCTTTTTGTATTTGCTTAATTTCATATGCCTCAGGACCTGCCCAAAATATATACATAAAAATTACCTGGATACCAGCAAAATGTTCACCCACTGGTTCCACACACATACAACAACAAATATGTGCTTTTCACCATCAGCCTGTTTCTTTGGCATGGAGAATTGGTCAAGAAAATTGTCCATTTCATTTAGATTTTCAAATTTTGTGGCATATAGACTTTGGAAGTAAGACTTAATTATTGTTTGGATTTCTTCAGTGTCTGTGGTTATTTCCCCCTTTTCTGAATTTGTTGATTTGGATAGTTTCTCTCTGCCTTTTAGTTAGTTTGGCTAAGGGTTTATCCATCTTGTTGATGTTCTCAAAGAACCAGCTCTTGGTTTCATTGATTCTTTGAATTGTTTTATTTGTTTCTAATTTATTGATTTCAGCCCTGAGTTTGATTATTTCCAGCCGTCTGCTCCTCTTTGGTGTGTCTGCTTCTGTTTTTTTCTAGGGCTTTTAAGTGAGCCATTAAGTTGCTTGCATGAGATGTTTCAAATTTCTTTTTGAAGGCACTTAGTGCTATGAACTTTCCTCTTAGCACTGCTTTCATTGTGTCCCGTAAGTTTGGGTATGTTGTGCCTTCATTTTCATTGAATTCTAGGAAGTTTTTAATTTCTTTATTTCTTCTCTGACCCAGCTGTCATTTAGAAGCAAGTTGTTCAGTTTCCATGTGTGTGTAGGCCTTTTGCTATTTTTGTCACTGAGGTCCAGTTTTAGTCCATAGTGATCAGATAAGATACAAGGGATTATTTCAAACTTCTTGTATCTGTTGAAGTTTGCTTTGTGACCAACTATATGGTCTATTTTGGAGCAGGTTTCATGAGGTGCTGAGAAGAAGGTAAATTCTTTTGAGTTTGTGTGAAAGGTTCTGTAGATGTCCATGAGGTCCATTTGATTCATGACCTCTGTCAGAGTTATTGTTTGTTTGATTTCTGTTTTGTTGACCTGTCCTTTTACTCCTACACTTAATCAAAGGGGAATTCTCTATCTCAGTGGGATTGCCATGGTGCTTCAAGAGTGATTTTTATGGAAATCTGAATATGCAAAAATAGAGAACTTTCAGTCACAAGGCATATAGCTCAAATCCAAGACCAATAAGTATTCAGGGCTAGAGAGAGTAAAGAAGCAGGAAGATTAAAAGCTATCTATGAGACTGCACATGCTAAAGAAACATGGCTGTGGAAGAAAACATTTCTAAATTAAGGTGATTAACTGATAAATGTTAACGATGTAAGAAAACAAGAGACTGCTTTTTAAAAAGCCAGGCAGAATGTACTAGATATGCAAATGAATACCAATATGAACCCAAAATTTCCTGCAAAGTCATATCCCTTAGCATGAAAAGCATTCAAAGGTTTGTTTATATAGCTGTATTCAATGTATTTAAGGGAAGTTAAGTTCTAAAATCTTCAATCTTCTTTAGCTACTCAATTATTTCTCTTGAGTATATATATTTTTTGTTGCTGTTGGGATTTTTTGTTTCTTTTTTGTTTGTTTGTTTGTTTGTCTGTTTCAAGACAGGCCTTGACTATCCTGGAGTCACTCTGTAGACTAGGCTGGCCTCGAAATCACAAAGATCTGCCTGCCTCTGCCTCCCCAAGTGCTGGGATTAAAAGCATGCACCACTGTGCCCAGCTTTGTGTATATTCTTAAACAGAAAAAATAACAAAACTCATTTTGGGGAATATAAATATCACTTCATGAAGAAATGTGTAAAAACACAATATACACAGGTGTGCATGGGGCTATCACTAACTCTTGTGTGACAGAAAAGCCTTTCTAGGGTACTTTAACAACCCAGGAGTTTAAGACTTCAGTATTTTGTAATACAATAATTTATTACAGAAGTCACACAATTTATTTCTGTAGTTTATTTAAGAAGAGTTTAACTTACATTTCAGAACGCCATCATATTAATACTTTTCTTTATACAGGCATCACACAGCAGTACCTGGTAGTCACTGATCATTTGCTAGTATGTTTTAGACACTGTAGTGGACACTTTACACAGTCTTAACCTCAATATAATAAGATGTAAGTATTTGATACCTGGATTTGAAAATAAGCAACCTAAACTTCAAGGTGAAGTGTTTGCCTAATCAGAGATGCAGTTGTAAATGGACCATCTATGACTCAAAAAAATCCATAATGGTAGTTGTTGCTGTCATAATTGCTATATTAAAAGTTAACACCACCATTTTCCCAGTTTAACTTTAGATTTTAACATGGCTTCCCTCCTAGAAAGGGAAATATAGTCATGCCAAGGCTGCCATTCTAAAACAGGTATCAGTATGTCTATTTTAGATTATGTTCCAACTGCTCTGCTTTCTAATGCTGTATAATCTTATACTGGCAATTAGGTTCTTAAGTCAGAAAAGAAAAAAAAAATCTACTAGAAACAATGCTGGGCTACCATTTTCTCACTGTTTCCAATACAGTATTTATGCTTCCAGAATTATGAGAATATCATTTCCAACACTTCAAGAGTTTAATTTCCTCTCTGTTTTCTTTACATAAACTATGTGTACTCTGTAATAACACCGAATATTATTATTTGGTGCTTTTTTTTTTATATATCAAAGGGACTTTTGAAGGCATCCCTTTTCAATCTGGAATCATATCCCCCCCATCTTTATGCATGTGTTCATGTGTGCAGGCCTGTGTGCCTGTGTGTGTGTGTGCATGTATGTGCGTGCATGTGCCACAGCCTGTGTGTTGAGGTCAGAGGACAGTTCATAGGAGTTGGCTTTCTCCACCAAGAGGATTCTGGAAATGGAATTCAAGTCATGAGGCTTGATGGCAAATGCCTCCACCAGCTGAGCCATCTCAGAAGCTCCTCATCTTTTCCTTTCATAAAACATCTTATCTGCTAACGTTTATGGATTATAAGGGGAGCAATTATGTATTTTAGGCTTAATTATTTAATTATAACAAGTTCCCCAACATTTTATACATTGATATAGTCTCAGAATTGGGAATGGTAAGAACCTATGAACCTGTAAACTTTCTAATATTTTCTCTACAACTTAAAAAACGGCCGTAGTGACATTCTTAAGAACAAAAACATCACAAATGCCATGACGTTCCTCATTAATTACTATTGCCCTCTGCTTTGTATATCACCCCTATCCCTCCCCCCCCAAAAAAAATATGCTGCAAACATCCTACTAAATTTAAGACTCTGGAAAATATGCCACAAGACACAAAGTGCTAGAAAATCTATCTAATTTGGGTTGAAGTGCAATCTCCAATCTCTTACCAAAATACCAAGAATTTCATATGTCCAACTTCTCATGTAAAGAGAAAAAAAGAAAAGCATTCAAGGGGTGGGCAGCGAAGAGCGGTTCTTACGGGGGTCGTTTCAAGCAAAGCTGAAGAGAGGAGACTGGAGAGAACTCAGCTGTTAGCACTCTGGGGTTGATTCCCAGCACTCATATGTGGGCTCACAACCTGTTGTGACTCCAGTTCTAGGGGTATCTGATGCCTCCTGGGACACCAGAAACCCAAGTGGTGCACAGACATGCATTCAGACAGAACACACAACACTAAAAAAAAAAAAAAAAAAAAAAAAAAATTAAACTAATGAAGACAATTACTGCTTATATGTTACATTATTTTTCGGAAACTCTGGTAATAAACAGAACCAGATTCAGATTATGAACCTGGTGTACTTGCGGAATTTCAACAGGAAAAGACTATCTTCGCCCATATGAACAAAGTACTCTTACGAAAGGTCTAGAATTAGAAATCTTCGTCACAATTCCAAAATAAAGGCTTTTGTGAAGCGACTAGACCAGATTTCCACGTTAATTCTGCAAAACTGAGCTCACAAATAATTCTACAATCCATTTAGATAAACAAAACCTCACCCTCAAAAACTAGAGGTGGGTTGGAAAAATAAATCAGATGACCCAAAGTTCACAAATAAATAAGCAAAGGGTAAAAAAAATAAAATTGCGACTGTTCTTTCAATTACCCACAGTTGAACACAAATGTAAGCATTCAGTTAGTTCAGCAAGGGCACAATTCGGAATGCAGAATAACGAACTCGACTTGACGTCTTAACATAAACAACAGAGAGCCGAATACGGAGTAATCAGTTCCTCGGTGCTCGCAAGTACTTGCACAGGGCATTTTCTCGCCCAGCACGCCCTTTAGGAACACCAGCAACCAAACCCCGGCCTACACCTGAGGCTCGACGCGTTCAGTCCGACATCAGCCCGCACCCCCTGGACGGTAGGAGTAGGGTCACCCTCAGCACCCCCAGCCTGTGGCGCCCAGGGGACACGCCCAACCCGCTCCCGCCCACGTGGCTCCCGCCCCCGGGCGCCAGCGCCCACATCCCCGCTGCCTAGCAACGCGGCGGGGCTTCCTAGCAACGCGGCCAGCTCCAGCCCGCCCCGGCCCTCAGGCGACCGCCCGCGGATTCCAATCTACCTCCTTTTTCTTCTGTCCGCCCCCGAGCTGGATGCAGAGCAGCAGCAGCAAGAGGAGGAAGGGGAAGCTGCCGGTGGGCAGGTAGCGCAGGCGGCGGCCCGTCTGTCTCCGGCGTGAAGGAGCGGCCCTGGCACCCATGGCCGCAGGGCTGTGTCTCCTCCACGCGCGGTAGCCGTGCGCGCCCAGCTCCTCCCGTGGCCGCGCCCCGCCGGGCCAGTCGCCAGCAACCTCTTGGCCGAAGGCCTCGGGGTGGCAGCGGCTTCTCCGGGCAGCCGGGAGGAGGCTAAGGATGCGGAGTGGGAGACTGGCAGCGCATCCGGTTCACCGGGAGAGGCACCAAGAACGGCGCGGGATGGAGCAGGAAGTGGGCGTGGCGAGGAGGCGGCTCAGTGCGCGCGCGCGTCTGAGCCGCTCTCTCAGGGCTTTCCTGTGTGCCAGCTGCACCGAGAGCCCTTTGCTGTCACCTCTGACCCCACTCTGAACACCTTGGGGTGCAGGAGTGTGCAGGGAGCCTGTCTGTGCAACCGTCCGCCTGGATCATGAGGCCATCCCACTGCCTTCTTGCACCAGAAGGCTCCATTAGCACTGAGAAACAGTTAGAACCCCTTTGTACCTCCACTTGAGCCCCATCCCACACTTAACATACAACTTAGTCCCCAGGTGGGTAGAAAATGCTCAACAACTTAGCGGTGGATTCTTCCACCCTCCATCAGGGCCCATAGGAGCCAACCTGGCTAAAAGCCATCGAGCCACTGTTGATGGAGTAGCAACATTGTTTTAGACAGAGGCTTTCTGAGTAAAAATGAATAGAACATAATAAATGCAGCTTGTACAGCCCTTGTTTTCCTGTACCACAAGGTTTTTTTCTTTTGTACAATGAACATCTTTGATAATCTGCTTAAACCTGAAAATGTCACTAAAAGTGCTTTTAATTGCATATAATTATATATAAAGAATTTTCAGGGAATCAATTATAAAGCCAATATTATTAACATAATTTGCTTTTGTTAGCCAGAAAATACTTGTATTGGAGAGATATCAGACAAATTTGTAGATTTGTAAAACAACAGGTGACCACTACACATGGCAAAAATTCACAAGCTTACAGGGGATGTAGCCAGTAATTCACATGAGATTTAAACCACCCTCTCGCATCACATCCTAAGGCGGTTTCAATGTGGTGATTTTGAGGTAGTGATCACAGCATTCCATGTTACCTGTGCTATGACATGGAGAGGTTGTGGAGAAAGGGGAACCCTCCTCCACTGCTGGTGGGAGTGTAAACTGGTACAACCACTCTGCAAAGCAATCTGGCGCTTTCTCAGACAACTAGGAATAGCGCTTCATGATCCAGTTATACCACTCCTAGGCATATATCTAAAAGAGGCTCAAGTACACTATAAAGACATTTGCTCAACCATGTTTCTAGCAGCTTTATTTGTAATAGCCAGAAGCTGGAAACAGCCCAGATGACCCTCAACTGAAGAATGGATGCAGAAGTTGTGGTACAACTGTACAATGGAGTATTACTCTGCAATGAAAAGTAAGGAAATCATGAAATTTGCAGGTAAATGGTGGGACCTGGAAAGGATCATCCTTTAGTGAGCTGTCCCAGAAGCAGAAAGACACAGTATATACTCACTCATATAGACATATAACATAGGATAAACCTACTAAAATCTGTACATCTAAAGAAACTAGTCAAGAGAGAGGACCCTGACTAAAACGCTCAATCCCCATCCTGAAAGGCAAAGAGGATGGACATCAGAAGAAGAAGAAAACAGGAAACAACCTAAGAACCTGCTACAGAGGACCTCTGAAAGGCTCTGCCCTGCAGCCTATCAAAGCAGATGCTGAGACTTATGGCCAACTGTTGGGCAGTGTGCACACAATCTTATGTAAGAAGTGGGAAATAGTAAGGTCTGGAGAGGACAGGAACTCCTCAAGGAGAACAACAGAACCAGAAATTTGAACACAGGGGTCTTCCCAGAGACTCATACTCCAACCAACGACTATTCATGGAGATAACCTAGAACCCCTGCACAGATGTAGCCCATGGCAGTTTAGTGTCCAAGTGGGTTACATGTAATGGGAAGAGGGACTGCCTCTGACATAATCTGATTGGCCTGCTCTTTGATCACCTCCCCCTGAGGGGGGGAGCAGCCTTACCAGGCCACAGAATATGACAATGCAGTCACTCCTGATGTGATCTGATAGACTAAGAACAGAAGGAAGGACAGGAGGACCTCCCCTATCAGTGGACTTGGGAAGGGGCATGTGTGAAGAAGGGGGAGGGAGGATGGGACCAGGAGGGGAGGAGGGAGGGACTCATGGGGGGATACAAAGTGAATAAAGTGTAATTAATAAAATAAAATTAAATAAAAAAAAAGAAATTCAAACTTTGGCAATTCAACCAGGGAATCATGCATATGCTGTTACAACACCTTATTTAAATGTTTATTTCTTTTTATTTTATGCATATATGTCTGCCTGCATTTCTTTTTTTGTCCATGCACTTTTTCTCCTTCCTTCCTTCCTTCCTTCCTTCCTTCCTTCCTTCCTTCCTTCTTTCTTTATTTCTTTCTTTTAATTTATTCACTTTGTATTCCAACTGTAGCTCCCTCCCTCATCTCCTCCAAGTCCCACCCACCCTCCCTGTTCTCCTCCTATGCTCCTTCAGCAGTTCACTGATAGGGGAGGACTTTCTTCCCTTCTAGCTGACCTTGGCTTATCAGGTCTCATCAAGGCTGCTGCATCATCATCATCTATGGCCTGGCAAGGCTGTACCCCCAAGGAGGAGGTGATCAAAGAGCCAGCCACTAAGTTCATGTCACAGACAGTCCCTGTATCCTTTACTAGGGAACCCACTTTGAAACTGAACAGGAGGTCTAGGTCCTCTCCATACATGGGCCTTGGTTGGAGTATAGGTCTCTGCAGGAACCCCTGGATTCAGGTATTTTGGCTCTGTTCTCCTTGTGGAGCTCCTGTCCCCCTGCCCACCCCAGGTCTTTCTATCTCCCTCTTCTTCCATAAGGTTTCCAGCTCTCTGTCCAAAGTCTGGTTTGCCTGCATTTCTATGCCAAGTGTGTGTCTGGTGCCTGCAGAGGCAAGAAATGGGTATCAGAGGAACTGGAACTGGACTTAACAGATGGTTGTAAGCCATAATGTGAATGCTTGGAATTTAACTCCGGTCTTCTGTAAGAGCAACCAGTGCTCCTAACCAGGCATCCACCTCTTCATGAATCACATTTTTCAAAGGAGTACGTAAATATCTCTTTTATGACTCCCAGACTTTTGATTTCCCAAAATTGTGTGAGCATTCTGTTCATGTTGATTAGTTCTTGTTCTTGTCATTTTTTTTCTGGGTCATTCTATACTCCTAGTATTGAATCATGGTTTTCTTTCCATTAACTTCCAGGTTCTGGGACTATAAACATATGCCCACCATACCCAGATTGGTCACTCTTGGTAATGCTCTTTTTTGAAGCTCTACTTTATTTGGAGTGGTTAGGCCTCAACATCCCTTCCAACCTCCCACCCTTACATGGGAGAGAAAAGGTTAGTGGGGAGAGAGAGCCTAGACCCCTTTACTTCTCCTGGCTGGTTAGGGTCAAGGCGTTCTTTTAGGGCTCTATACCAACCTCCATCAACCACTGACACAGCTAGCAGTCTCCTCCATTGCACTATGCTGCTATCTGCCAAACACAACACTGAACACCACACCTTTCTCAGCTCTCATATCGGAGTCTTAGACCATGCCCCTCTCTGGGCCTCATGTGGAAGGCCTTTACCAGCTGGCAAAATCCACATTCTGAAGGACAATTAATAGGTGTGGACAAAACAAACAATAGCCTAACTAAAATCTCACACTTGGAATTAAAACAAAAAACATATGTACATAACTGAGTTTACAAAGAAACTAAAACTTCTATTATGGGAAACTTAAACAGGCTTAACAATTAAGCATAAATAATTCATAATTCTAGCAGCACTCAAAACCAGGAGAACTTCAGAAAGCTCAGCTCCAAAAAGAATTAAGTTAAATCTAAGTAAGGCTACTTCCTGAGTGTCCATGCCTATGTATTTGATTTTGAAGTATTTGAAGTCTTACACTGTGATGACTTTGCTTTTGTGGATATGGTCTGATATGAGATCCCTGTTGTGTAACCTGTCTACTTGTTGACTGTGTGGTTATTTCCTGTGGCTCATATACGAGATGTGGTGTTTGGATAAGAATGGCACCCATGGGCTCATGCATTTGAACTTTTACTCACCAGGGAGTAACACAATTTTAAAGGATTAGAAGGTTTGGAAGGTGTGGCCTTGGTGGGGGAAGTTTGTCACCTGGGGTAGGCTTTGAGGTTTCAAAAGCCCATTCTAGGCACAGCAGTAGCTCTTAACTACTACTCCAGGGTCTACCTGCATACTACCATATAGCCTGTCATGATAACAATGGACTAACCCTCTGAACCTGTAAACAAGCTTCCAATTAAATGCTTTCACTTCTTATCATTGCCTTGATCATGGTGTCTTTTCACTGCAATAGGACAGTGACTAATTTTAGTTTTAAGAATGTGCTGTCACCAAATTTTCTCACCTTATTTTCTTGTACTTTCCTAAATGAATAGCCTCTCACTTTCTCCTTAAGACATTAGAAAAGAGCCTCAAGTTTTGTCTATCTTGGGATGAAGAACTGTATAATGGATAGCAAATCAGCATCCATAATCTACACATAGAAAGCATGATCAAAATCCATTATCCCACCTTTATCTCCCAAATAGATCTTAGTTTCCTTGCATTAATTAGTATCATCATCCCAGTAAAAAAATGTTTAGTGTCTCAGAAAACCATTCCATTTTCCTTCCCCTGATCCATGCTGCAAGTCACAGTTTCCATATTTTCCTACAAGCCTGTTTTCCCTTTCCACATGTGTGGCTCCATCACTCATAAAAAAAAAAAATGACCAAATATCACTATGCAAATTGCTCCTTTACTTTAAAATTCTTACCACCCTCCTCTAGTAACATAATCCCACTCTCCCCACATTTTATAGCAGGTCCTATAAGTGCAAAGTGTTTTTCTCTGTCCTCACTAGAAAAAAAACACAATTTTTCCTTGCTCATGACTGCTTTTCCTAACTCATATTCTATTTTCTCTTCCAATTTCTCACTGTGTTCTACCTAGTTTTGTTTTCCTTGAACATATCATTTCTATTCTGTCTCTCGGCTCTGTACTGATGTTCTCAGTGGTATAAAGCTTTTCACCTAGATAAATGGTCACATCTGTGCTGGCTAGTTTGTGTCAACTTAACTCAAGGTGTCATCTGGGAAGAAGGGATCTTGATCAAGAAAGTGGCCTGTAG